TTATTATAATGATAAACGCAATTGACCCGCTGAAAAGATTTTCCGCTAAGTAAAATTTATTTCCCGACGCTTTTTGATACATTGATTAAGGCGCTTGAGAACGCCCTATATCCTCAAGTAATTGGTTATTTATACGGGTCATCCGAATTCGGGTACCCGGATTACCCGATTATATTCAGGTGACCTGTTTTAGTTTCGGGTACCCGGTTGGTAAAGACGGTTGACCCGACGGGTCACGGGTAGAGATTTTCCAACCGGTTTGGAACCCTAGCTGATATTCAGCAGTAGCAACCATGTTATGATTTATTTTGTTAAATTCATCAACAGGAGCTTTGATGAACTTTAACATTGGTCCACAATAAGATAATTGTCCAAATATTACTGATGTTACTGAGAAAGCTGACCTACTACCTTTACTTGTGCAAAGGGGAAATAGGGTTGCGTATGTTGTTGATTCACATCCTGCGAACATATAAACTCTTCCATTTATAGAATTCCTTTCTAGGTCTTCCTTTTTTAATAATGCGTATCCTGGTGCCATGGCTTGCATCAAACGAGTTTCGTCAACAAATGGTAAAATGGCTTTGTGATTAATTACCTTAAATTTTTTTGGAAAGAATTCTTGAATTGGTGAATGTGGATCAGTGAATAGAGATTGGAAAGGTTCTGGAACAAGGTAATTGCATTTGGGGGGAAGTATACACATCAATTGTTCGAAAGGTCGTATTGGGATATCTGGAATGAAAGCTTGATCAAAATTTTCCACTTTCACATGATTTAATATATCCTGAATGGTTGGTGGTCTATGATGTGGATAGAAATGCCTCCAACTTGGACAATCTCCGTTATAATATTGAAATATCCAACAAATTGTTTTTACATAGTCATTCGCTCTCTTTGATATTTCCATAGTATTTTTTCCTTCAGACGTATGATATAAACCTCTTCTAAAACGATCAGGTTTCGACTTTAGATGCTCAAAAAATTTAAGGAAATTAGCAATGTTTATTTTACCTTTGTTGGTAATATAAGATTTAGTTTTACTAAAATAAGTTTGATATGCTTGGAACAAGATATCGACACGTGTCTCTCCTAAATATTTAATTCGTGGAATAAAATCATTACCAAGCAAATTGGCAATGCAAACGAAATCATCGATAATGTTGTCTTCTTCAATTTCTGGCGTTACTTGCATTAACATATCATGAATTATGTGCTTGCGGAGTCTGTTAATGTTTAGAATGACATCATCTCCTTTAAAACCAGGACGTAATATGCGCAAGTTAGGTTCGTGTGTAAGAAGAGCGTACATGATAAAGTCGGCATCGCAACCGCAGACAACATGCCTATACTTGGTATTATATCCTGGATGACTACGTTGCGCAGTTAAAAATCTAAAGACTTTATGTTCTCCTTCACCAGCAACACTAGAATCATTTAATATTATTTGAAGATTTTTGAATTTACCGTTCAAGCGCTGGTATATATAATATCTAATTGCATCATTTGCTGCCTGCATGAATTCAGTTCCTGATGATATCGATGCACTATCTACAGGGACGAAAAACCCTGATTCGTTTTTGGCACGAGCGGCTAATTGTGATTGATCACATTTATTAGATGAAACTTCAAGATATTCCTCTCTTTCTTGTGTCGTACGAGACCCTTCTCGGGATAAGAATCTTCGTGATCGTTGTTCATTCATTTTTGCTCTAGGTGCAACTCCGTCCATTGCAATATATACCAGCACTTGAGGGTCGCAAACATTGAACGTAACGTCCATTTCCTTAAAAACTCTTGATAGCATGCGACGGGATGTGAAATTTGACCTTGACCTTTTTTTTTCCATACTTCTAAGCGCAACATGAAATAAGGCATTTATATCTAAGTACAAGAAATCAGTTTTACTTCGGGACTTTTTCTTTACCGCCTCAACTATATGAGGATATCGTAAAGACAGCCATCGAAAGAAACCTGGTATACCCATGTTGTTAATATCATAGTAAAAGCGAGTAACTTTTAGAAATTAATAGCGATACATAAGCTCATTTTCATTGGCTAAAAAATTTGCTATTTAAGTCTAAAGCAGAGTAGGTTACACGATATCAGCAAAATTATCCTTGTTAACGTTTAAGTACATAAAACTACCCGTTTTTTAGTATAATGTAAAAAATTGACTTTTAACGCTAATAAATATAACTTACTGCACGAGTAACAACCCATGCGATCAATATCGATCACCTTCTATGTATGTTATGAAATTATATTTATCATAAAGATATTTGATTCATTCACTGATCTATATCTACGTACGTATAATATTGTATATTGGGGTGTTGAAAGTCTACAGACACGTACAGTAGGCACCAAAAGTAACGCCCGATTTTGCAAATCAAACAAAAAATAAAAAAAAACCAAATTTTATTTAATTTTTTATTATATACAATAAAATTTTTTTTTAAAAAAAGTTAGTATTTGGTCGAATGACCGTGGACATCCAATACTGCCTGGATTCTTCGTGGCATTGAGTCTACAACACCACGAAGAATCGATACATCAAAATTTGCCTACTCTTCCTTTATTACAGCCTTTAGGTCGTTAGCATTTCTTGGGAAGTTTTCACAATTCTGAATATTGTTCTTTAACAGTTTCCAAACATTTTCAATAGGGTTAAGGTCCGGGGACTTCGACAGCCATGTTAATTCTTTGATTTTCTTCTCTTTAAGCTATTTAATAACAATCTTTGCAGTATGAACTGGATAATTGTTATGCTGAAACACTATATTTGGATCTAATAATAAACAAACAGAAGCAAGGTAAGGTACAAGGTGGTCTTTGAGGACTTTAATATATGTTTCTTTATTAATTTTTTGTTTTGGTTCTAAATATTCATAAAAAAAAACTAACAGCTTTTTGTTTTCACCTACAAAACAATCTATATTATTAATGACATTTTCTCACTCTTAAAACTCAGAATTAAACATTCATTTTTATACCTTTCATTCTTATAATGCTATACTCTAATTTGACAAGATTGTTTACTAATTTCTATACTTGTTTTGTCAGAAAAAATAACTTAGAATCAATCATAAATATTTTTGTTTTTAAATTTTTTGCATTAACTCTCTCAAGTGATTATATTGATACTAGTTAAAAATGGTTTTTTTACCATTATATATGAATGAACTTCAACATTATGTAAAGCTTTGGTTGCAGTTGACATGTTACATTGAAAGCTAAGATTGTTTACAATACTGCACAATAGCTTACACCTTGTTTTTAATGCTTTTTTTAAAAGGCTTGTCTTTTCTTATTTCTTTAGGATTGGGAGATATCTAAACTATAGTAAATTATTAATTGTTTTGGTTCTTTTGTATTTATTAAGAAACTATTGAACTGTTATGAAGTTACAACTAATTTTATAGACAACTTGCTCAGCACTCATATCGTTGATATAAGCAAAGATCATTCCTTTGTCTTTTTTAGTCATTTGGATATGTAGCATTTTGGAGATTTTTTTTTTTTTCTTGCTAAACATTAGTTGAAAGTTTAAGAATCATTAAAAAAAAAATTGCCTCAAAAATGTAAAAATGAGGTAAACACAGCCTATTTATTTGTGCAGGTGATTAGATCTGCAAATCAGACATTACTCTTGGTGCCTACTATACCTATTCTAGCAATCAGATCATTAGTTTATTAAATGATCGATATATTGCTATATTTAAATTATTTTTCAACAACTATTTAATTAAATTTGATAAAAATTTTTTATTTAGATTCTATTGATTTTAATAATCTAATATAAAAAAAAATCATTGAATTTAGTTAGGTAGTTGTTAAGAAACCTTCGATCAAAGTCATATAAATTTTCTCAACTTATTTTTGATAGCTTTTTAAAACTTTGACTAAAAATATTTTAACAACTATATAATTAAATTCGATAAAATTTTTTATTTAGATTATTCAGATTTCAAGAATTCAAATAAAAAAATTTTGATTGAATTTTGTTAAGTAGTTGTTAAGATACCTTTGATCAAAGTTACAAAAAAATTATACAAATCTTTATTTGAATTTGAATTATATGTTATATCTGAAATTAAATTAGTGCAAGAAAAACTTCTTTTAAAAGTATTTTTCATTTTTATTAAGGTTATTTTGCTCAACTTAGTTTGTTCCAGAGTTGTTTACTTTTACTTTTTGCTTATTAAAGATTATTTTGCTTAACTTGATTTGCTTCAGAGTTGTTTACTTTTACTTTTTACTTATTAGTTTTGTAATTAAAAATTAAAGAAATTTTTTATATATTAGTTTTTTAGCTAATTTAGTGAGTAACTTAGTAACAAATTATTTATGAAAAATTCAAAATCTTCTTTAAAAAACTAAACAAAATTAACCTTACTATATATTTTGTACTAAACTATAAACAAACTTGTTTCAACAACAACTTAATCTTACTAATAATACAATTGAGTCTATATCTCTAAGTTTCAAAATATCTTATACTTAAACTTCTTTTTTTCTTTTTAAAAAAGTTTTCTGTAAATATGAATACAACTACTGCTTCTAAAATAATAATGTCTTTCATTCTGAGTAGACTATTTTTAGAAGATAATATAGCTTATAAATATGTAGTTATTTATTTAAATAATACTAATATATTTTTATAAACTTTTGATGATCATATTAAATATTTATTAGAAGTTTTTATTAGAATTATAAAAGATAGACTAAAGTAAATATAGAAAAATATAACTTTTAGATAAAATGATTACTTTTCTTAGAATATATCATTAAAGCTAAAGGAATTTCACTAGATTTAGAAAAGATTAATTCATGATAATAATAATATTACATGTATAATTGACTAATAGACTAGTAGATCAGTAATTTATTTTTGTTTTAGGTTTTATGAAAACAGCAGTAATAAAAAACTTTACTGAAGAAATCATTAATATCAATTTACATGATACTGGTTATATCTTTGAAATGCAGAAAATTTTATCTATAGTTAATAAAATAATAGAACTACAAGACTTGATAAAATCAAAGAAGCCTACTGTAATGATTTTGGCAACATTTCATCTGAATTCACTTTGATTAAGACCTCTTCATGAAAAAATATAATAAAGAATTTATTTGATTTTTAAAATATACATTTGTTTATTTTTTAAGTAAAAATCATATTTGCTCTTATTTTCTACATATTACAGATATAAATATTTTACACTAGCAGACAATAGTAAATTAATGAAAAACTTAATCCTTTTCTGTTTAAGCACTACAATAATTAAAGGTAACATTGATCATATTTGCATTTTATGAAAAAGAAAATAATATTGAAGTAATAGGTCTAGAAATATTAGATATTTTAATAGGATTTGATAATGTTATAAGTGATAATGAATTTATAGAGCAATAATATTGAGTATTTGGTTAATGCCTTATAGTAACTCTATTAACTTTGTAAAAGATAGTTTTACAAAAAAATTATAAAGGTAACATTATTAATAATTTGTTCTTTATCAGTACTCAGTATATTTGTATTATCAAGTTTGATTTTTCAAGTTTTATTATATTTTTAGCTACATTCAATTTAGAGATAGCACATGATTTAAAACAAGATGTTTTAAAATAATTTAAATCAGTTTTTTATTGTTTTAAAACAATTCTTGATTTATATTAGATAAATTTTATTAAAATTACGAAATTTAAATACTTATTATATAATAAAATACTTAATGTTTAAAACATTTTTTGTCATTTCTAACACTCATTTGTTTTTGTTATTGATACAAGAAAAGAGATATTTTAAAGAAATTGATTTTCATATCCTTAAAATTAAAAAAAATCAACAACTAGTAATATTATTTTTAATGATAATATGCCTACTCTTGAAGTAATTGTAATTCTAGAGATATAATATTTATTATACAACCTTCGTGTTTAAGTATACAACTATTTCTATATAAAATCTTACAAGAAACATTAATGTTGTTAATAATTACAGGACATCTTCCAGTACAAAAAAAAGTTAATGATCCTTATAGTTCAAAGTAGCAAGATTAGATACTATACTCATGATATATTCTGTTAACAGATGATTTATATTCAATATTGTAATTAAGTCTTTCAACACAACCAATTGTGGAAATTAATAAGATTAACAAGAGTAGAGTAAGGAAAATTGAGAAAAATTGACTATGTTTTAATATCTAATAAAAATATAATTTAATTATAATAAAATAATAATAATAATAAAATTAAAGAAAAATAAAAATAATAATTACAAAAGACATTCTAGAATATGTATTCTATTTAGTAAATTTATCTTGATTAATATATGTATATATATATTTTTTTGAAAAAATTCATACGATTAAATCAGTTAAGATAATATACGTATCATGAAAAATTATATGATAAAAAATGAATATATGTAAATATTTTTTAAATATCTATCTAATTGGTTATCGATTCTTAAAATCTGATTGGTAAACGTTCTATATGAAAATGCACTCGATTATATGAAAAATTATTATTTTTGATAAGACGGTTAAAATTTTTTAAAATTTTAATCTAAGATATCTTGACAACTACTTAATCATACTCAATAAAAAATTTTTTTTATTTAGATTATTAGGTTTTAAGAATTCAAATAAAAGAATTTTGATCAATTCAGTTAGGTAGTTGTTGAGATATCTTTAATCAAAATCATAAAAAATTTTTCTTGGCTTATTTTTGATAGATGTTTAAAATATTTTAAAACTTTGATCAAAGATATCTTAACAAACAACTAATCAAATTCAAAGAAAACTTTTTTATTTGAATTCTTGGAATCTAAATAAGAAAAAGAATATTGAATTTTGTTAAGTGGTTGTTGAGATAATCTTGATTAATGTTTTAAAAAAGTAAAAGAAAAAACACAGAGAGTAAGGCAAGCAGTGGTCGCTTTTGCAGATGATACAACATGGATTGCAAGCTCAAGGA